CAACATATATCTCAAATAATATTCTTGTAACTATAAACTTCAAATTCAAGTAAGAAAATATAATATATTGAAATTAGTATGTACTTAATTAAAAAAAAAACTAATATTCTAATTAAAAACCAACCTTTTCAAAGTTACAAAGATAAACTTCCACAGAAATCAAATTATTTAACAATGTTCAGATACCACTGTGCGCAACTAATTGATCGACAAAAAAAGTTAAAAAAATATGAAGATTCTACAAAGCATAGAGATCATTTGCTAATGCAACGATTCCACTGCAAAGGCTGGTTGAAGATTACTATAGATACAGAAAAAAAAGAAGTTTTTATTGAATTAACCCATGAATATCATGCCAAATATGCTGATATACGTGTTATAAATGAAATAAAAGAATACATTCAAATAATCTTCACCAAACTTCCTGGGTTATTTGGGAAATCTTGGTACAAAAAGCCCAAATATTACTGAGAAGCAGATTTATTATTGGTGGATACATTTCAGTTAACATATCTGGAGAAAAGATGAAGATCAAATTCAATCAGCTATTAAAATTATTGAAGTATATGATTATACTGAAATGATATTAAATATTATGGATAATGGAATTACTATGATCAGCTTCGGGCTTATAGAAATTATTAAGAAATTAGGTGTAAACGCAGTCGAGATTGGTATTGATGCAACATGTATGTATTCATATTAGTGTTGCAAGTTAAAGCTCAATTTGAACAAATAATCTTCAATATTTCAGCTTCGTTCAAATCGAAACTTCTGAATTTTTCTTAGCCTCAAAATTGACTTGCAAAACTATTAACTTATTTAAATTAAATTAACTTATTTTCATTAATATTTAAATGTTAAATTAATCATAACATATTTAAAATTAAATTTACCATTTTTCTTCTTACCAGTGTTTAGATATTTCCATATTAGAGTTTAGATAATTTTACCATTTTGCTTCTTATAAATACACAAATAGTTTTATTCGTTTCCTTCTTATTAGCGTTCAAATTATTTTATCTGTTTTCCTGCTTATTAATACAATTTTACTTTTTTCTTCTTATCGATATACAAATAATTCATCTGCTTACTTTCTTATTAGTGCTTAAATATTTCACCTATCAGAAGTCTTAAAGAATTCATTAAGTTTTTTTTACCTGTTTTAAAAAACTTAGCTTGAATAAAATGTTTTGGTTTAGCATGCAGCATTAATATGATTAAATCTAAAAAATTTAAGTTATTCTTGATAACGACTAACAATTTTTTAAATTTAGATAATACTAATAAGATGAATCTTGAGCTATATTCAGTACTTGTCAAGGTGAATGGAATGAGATTCCTGTTGGCTTACATGCTGTTAACTACCACAACCGCAATCAATGATAGAGTGCACACGAAAATGATTATCTATTTTTTTGATAAACTGCATCATCTAGAAATCAACCCAGCTTTTGTGATGACTAATAAAGATTCTGCACAAATTTTAGCAGCAAAACAATATGGCCGGAAGCACATATTCAGCTTTGTTTTCGGTATCTAAAAAGAGCAATAAAAAGGCAACTAGAATTGAAATAATACCAAAGACTATTCAGTACTCTGCGGATCAAGCAAATGCAGAATTTTCTTTTATCAATCTTGATTTTTACCCTGAAATATCACAACAGCAAATTACATTTACCTTTTGCCCAATGGAATACCATAGTCATATTCTTAACCTCATGACCAAGCACTTTAATCAGCATCCATATATTCTTGCAGCTGATATGCAGTATTATTCCTCTGATCAAATTTGTGAATTTGCCATTAAAGAGATGTATATGTATTGTAAAAATAATGATCTTAAATGGATATGATCATATCTGTGGGTGGAGTGGTATGGTTTGACAAAATGGCCTAATTGGGCACAAAGTGCAAAAAATAAAATTTCAGTATTAAAAACAACAATGATCGTAGAATCACATTGGAAACTTATTAAGCATAATTATATTTATAAATTTAATAAGCTACAGGTTGATTTACTTGTATGGATTCTAACTGAACGTCTTCTTTCGCAGTATATAATTAAAATGCAACAACTTGAACCAGATTGCAGAACAAGAGCTATAGTCTTATAGTGCCTGGCTTTTAAACATGATTGAAAAATATGCTTAAAGAAAGAATCGAGTAGTGGTTTATATACTACCGATCCAAATATGTGGACTTGTTCATGTTCAGCTTATCTTAATAGCTATTTTCTTCTTTGCAAACATCTGGTCCAATCTGTCTGTTCCTTAAAACCAAACTTCTTTAATAAAGTTACATGATACAGATTCTCACCTTTTTTGAAGCATAAAGATCTGATTCCATTAACATGAGGTCTAGAGCCAGTTAAGGAAGATAAACTTGATTAAAAATCTGAGTTAATTAAAGAAGAAAATGTGTCAATAGAAGAAGATATAGAATCTAATAATGAAAGTAACAAAGAACTTGCAGAAGCACTTCAAGAATATGAAAAAAGTGATGATGTGATTGACAATACAATTGTTGAAGAATCTAATGAAGCATGGGAAGAGGTTAATAGTTGTATCACAGAAAAGCTTCAGAGATAGATTGATTTACTAAAAAGCCAAGAACAGTATAGAGATACACGGTTTTTGTTAGCTGCTGAAAATGCAATGCATGGAATAGAAAAAATGTTAACAAAGTGTGAAGTATTGAAGAATAGAAAAACATTACCAAGAATGTAGAAAGATTATGACAAATAAACGATGTTTTATAAAATTACATAAATTATAAATTATAATACTTAAAATTATAGTATTGTTATAGAACAGTTTATTATTTTATTAGTTTATTATTCTGATATTGTATTTTATTATTTATTTTATTATT